TCAGGCGCAATTCTAATAGCTTTCAAGTATCCGTTTACGGGAGCTTAAAAACAAAAGAAACTTCCAGATCGTAAGCCCTCCAAGTGTCCGCGGTTGCTTACGAGAATGTTTGCTTATGGGAATGAGTAAATAAGGGTTTGGCGTCTAAGTGGCGTTGAAGTAATTTTTTGAGCCAAATTTGCCGGCAATAAAGCCTGAAATAACATACAATTTCTTCTAGAAATGTTATTAACATCAAAGTCATCGAACATGCGGCTTGTTTTTGTTGTTTGTTTGTTTCTTTTGTTTTTTGTTAGTTTTGCTGTTTAGGGAAATGAAGAATTTTATACGATAATCGTATTAGATTTATAAATTTTCAACACACAAAGCAGTGATCTAGAGGAGCCCCCCCCNCCCCTCTTATTTTGGGTAAAACAGAAAAAAATCGCAGAAGGAAGAAAAGCCGACAGAACAAGCAAAAAAAACGGCACTCCCCCGAAAATACACATTTCCAGGGAAAATCTTATCGCCACATCCAAAACGCTCTGGGAGGGCGGGAAGATGAGAGACGCTGGAAACGAGAATGCCCCGTAGGGAGAGACTCTCATCTGAAAAAGACCGGTTGCTCGTCGTACCTTTTAGTGCCTACAAAACAGGATTAGGGGTTCTTTTCAAAATTTCCGAAGAGCTCCCCCGTCTTTTTTATGTCGGAGCCCTCCCCCACCCGGGTCCAAAACACGCCTCAAACAACTGAATATAATACACCTTGGTAGGGCAACTTTTCTCGAAACGGCTGTAAACAAAACCGACGGGCGGACCTCAATCAGAGCGACTTTATTTGAGCAACAGTTAACCTGCGATCAGGCGTTTTTTTTTTTTTTGGAAAGAAATATAAGGGAGGGAGGGCATGATCGCAGGTTAAGCAACAGTGGACGGACCAAAACTTACTAGAATCGACCAAAGACTTTGTAAAACTTTACCCACTAATTACTAATCACTTTTCACTTGACTATGAAGGTGGCTTCCGCTCAATTTGTCGAAACATCACAATCAGTCACGAACAGCAGTTCTTTTGAGAACTACCCTCACCCGGACGATCACGCTATACGAATTACTTCTACAGTCTACTCAGTGACCTCCATATTCCACGAGAAGCACCACTAGATAGCAAAATATGTCATGGACCGCTACCTACGTTTTCCAGTTGAACAATGAAACTTGGACTTTACAGACTTAAAAGAAACTAAGCTGACCTTCGAAATTTCATCTTCCACTTTGCGTTAATGTAATGGAAAGTACTGCTAAAGCATTCGATACTGAGAGACTATTGAACTCTCCTAAAAACTAATCCAAAAAAGGTTCAACCATCTCTTTTGCCTCTCTGATACTTTGAAAAAAAAAAAGGTTAAGTCTGCATACGAGCCAAGTGGCCCATCAGGTCCGTGCTTATCTCTAGTTTCAGTAGCATGAAGCGATTAGGAGTATTTCTATTCTTCTCTGGATGGGATGTTAGTCCATCGCAGATTTACTCCCGGCACTAAATTCGCCAGTACTCATTTATACACCTGGGTGGAGAGAGGCACTGTGAGACTAAAGTGTCTTGCCCAAGAACACAACATAATGTCAACGGCTAGGGCTCGAACCCAGATCACTGGATCCGGAGTTGACCGCGCCTCCCACAAAAAAAATATTTAAATTTAAAAAATAAATAAATAAATAAAAGCTACTTTAAATAGGCCCTTAAAATTGACAGGTAATCACGAAGTTTCAGTTTCAGCGAATGATCCTCTAAGAGTATAGTCAATACTTTAAGTTTGCTTCAGTTATGATCAGACAAGCTGTCAGATGATCACTGCTATTCTAAAGTTTCCCTATAAGTTCACAGGCACATTGTCAACGAGTACCTCGGGGTTTGTCGAGTTGGCGTGCTCGCGAGTGCGCTTCTTCTTGTGGACTAAGAGCAAGGTGAGTACAGTAATCATGGGATAACCCGGAAACACTGACCCCCGGTCCGCGGACCCCCACTATGGACCGAGTCCGTGGACTACCCATGGACCGGTCCACGGACTACCGTTACGGACACTCTCTACGGACCACCCCCCCAAAATAGAATAAAGATAAGAAATAAATGTTTCATTAATGGGTTGTCCAATAAATTACTCATATCGGCGAAATTTCGAGTGTTACACTGTGCAAAATGTAATTAACACGCCCCCGCCCCCTACCCCCAGAAAAAAAAAATGCCTAAAAGCTGTTTTCAGCGTAAGGAGATGCCGATGACAAAAAGAAGGAAAGTTCTTAACTTTCATTCATGGCTCCATCGGGCTATGGAAGGTATGATTTTAGATTGTTTAAGCTTGTTTATATCTGTAAATCCGCTGAACAAATTATGAAGCCTGGAACGAGTTCACGAATCCACGCGAGAATGGGCTGAACAAAATGGCTCAGGGGAAAGAGCACAAATTTCAAGCCGGCCTCTCAGAGGCTTCCCGGAGGCTTCCTGGGGGCTTCCCGGTCTTTTATATACTGTATGGCCGCAGCAAAGGAAAGGGTAATGTGTAATGATATAACTTGCGCCCGAACCTGAACCCAAGAATGCTACATTTGCACACTATAACGTTCGAAATCTTGCTGACACAAGTAATCTATTAGACAACCCGTAAGTGACATGTTTGTTTCTTATTTTTATTCTACTTTGGGGAGTGGTCCGTAGAGGGTCTCCGTAGGGGTAGTCCGTGAACTGGTCCATAGGTAGTCCGCGGACCCGGTCCGTAGTGGGGGTCCGCGGACTGGGGGTCAGTGTTTTCGGGTTACCCGTAATCATGCATTATAAAGACAATTAAAGCAACTACTCTGTTGCCAATTCCAAATTACATGTCAACTTGAGAAGTCGTGTGAACTATCACGTTAAGAGTGCAAATATGGCACGGGTCCAGGATTACAAGTTTCTTCTGTCTGCACGCTATCCCTAGCGCAATCCCGCGTGCATGCAATCCCCACAATACTCTGGGATTCGTAGTCTTTTGGGCAAGTTAATTCGAATTCTTATCCAGTTTCACGGTGTTCCTGAAAATTGTTCTATTAGTGAATTACATTTGTGACTCTTAATAGTTTGTCTAATACTAAAAAAAGTGAACTTTTCCTTAGGTCGAGCTTATGTCCTACTATTATGACGTCTTAATCAAAAGATTTTCCAGTATTTTTGTTCTTAATTGTCTTACAGGTCACACGTGTTTTCGTCTAATAGGGCTAAACAAATATTAAGCAACCATGGCTTACGGATCGAGTCTGCTTGTTTATTTAACATTATGATACCTTAAAGCATGAAAAGCATTTCGAAAATTAAACAATCCAGTTCGTGTAAATCAGCATTGCTACAAAATTTTCATACTAAGTGTATCCTGTGTATCGTACTATATTTCACTTTGCCGAGTTCAGGAGTGATTCGTCTGTTCATTAGTCTGTTAAGATTTTTTTACTCCTTCTACCGCATTAAAATGAGATGTGCCTGCCACCAGTGCAACAGATGGCCTGGTGGAAATATGTTTTGAAACCGTGATGGTTCGTAAGCCTGAGGGGTTAATTATTGGTTCGTTTTCATCAGCGTGGTAAGAATTCAAAACAAACATAGTTTTTTTACAAAGTCTACCGCCCGGAATCCGGGTTGTAAAAACGTCAGAGTCTGCTCCTAAAAAACGGACCCTTGCTTGACGAGGTGGAGGCGCGATGGGCTCGTGGTTAGTGTGCTCGACTCCGGATCGGTCCGGGTTCGAGCCCTGGTGTTGCGTTAGTCTTTTGCAAGACACTTTGCTCTAACAGTGCCTCTCTCCACCCAGGTTTATAAATGAGTAAAAGTGAATGCATTGCTTAGTGAAAACCAGCATCCCATACAGTGGAGAGTAGAAATACTCCTAGTCAATTCCTGCCATTGAAACGGGAGAAAAGCGCCGGCCTGATGGGTCAATTGGCTCGTATGTGGACTTGCCTAGACTGTTTTGAGCCAGTAAAAACGAATAAAATCCCATTAGATCAACGACCAATTTTTTGTCAAATTGCAATATTACAAAGTCGCGTCAAAAATACATTGTTGGAGGTGTGCGCTGTCGTGAGACACATTATACCGTGAGATAATTGTGAATGTACACGCAAACTGGCACTGAAAATCGGCTAAAACCGGGGCAGGGATAGAAATAGTAAAGCTGGACACCATAAGGCATAGCTACCATACAAAAGAAGATATTATAACAATCTGCATTAAAACAGAATTACCTTTGTTTGGTCTGATGGTTTGTTAGCCGGACACAATAAAACAATCCAGTTTAATTAAATAGTTCACAATACAGTCATATTCCTTCACTATGGCCATTTTTCCTTTCTATCTTTATTCGCGTCACGTTCAAACAAAAAGCTCAAGAACTAAGGACTGGACCCTGTACTTTTAGCGCTAAGTAAAATCGCATTTAAGGCGCGGTACTGCACAGTGTGACCTTTGAACATTCTGTTTCAATTGGTTTGCAAATATTCACTTTTAATTGTAATAATAAACTAAAACACCTGAAAGGGAGGACCAAAAATTAATTTCGCAAGTACTTTTAAAATCAGAGAGGCTTAAAACGAAACAAAAACAAAAACCAGAAAACAGAAAACAGATCAGAAAACTTTATGGTGTGGATAAATAAAGCGGACGAGTTCTCTGCTGTATGCAGCACGTATTAGTTGACCTGTGCGTTGTTCTTATCTGACCGCGCGCAATCCTGTGGGGCGGAACATTGTTATCGCGTAAACGCGTAAACTAATCCTCGAAAAATCTCTCCTTTTAGTAAAACAAAGCTTTTTTAGCAAAACTTAGGCTTATTTAGCGTCATGGCAGCTAAAAAACTCTCCTTGTTACAAGCTCTGGTGGGCGGCTGCGACAGTCAGAGAAGATGCAAATCGATGCACCAACAAGGAAACCACAATCATCCATAGTTTAATCGATTAACACATGCCTAATGGATTTCCTAAATGGATTTTTAACTTACCCTACTGGCCATGATCGGGAAAATGTCCTCAGCCGAGTTTATGCCCTGTTGTACTGAATTAGGGTGTCTAATTCAAAACTGATATCAAGCTATTCCAATGGTTCTGTTGTTAATGTCCTTGGCAGATAACATAAGTGTCTGCATACAGATTAAATTGAAATCATCGATAGGCGTGTTCTGTTGAGTTGTTTTGCATTTCTGATTGGCAGTTCAGTATTGAGAAGCGCATGAAGCAAAGGTCAATATGAAAATATTGGTATTTCATGTCTTGAACACAACGCATAATATGTTTAAACTAAGTCCTGTTTGCGATTTTGATAATAAAATTTAGCAATAAAAACAAGACTCAAAATAAAGACATATCTCTCAAATAACGAATAAATTAGCGTATTACATAACTACATGACATGAGAATACTTAAAAGCGCTAAAAGAATATTAAAAGAAAGACAGAAAATCACAATCCACGTACACAGAATAAACCTTGGTAGGTAGCAAATCAGGAAGTTTGTTGGTGCGACATAGTTCTTTG